TATAATATTAATATTAAAAATAATTATTTTCATGTTTCCTGGCTTGGTGGCTGGATTATTTTTTAATGAGTAAAACTAGGAATCATTAAGGTTGGAAAGGACCTTTAAGATCATCAGTCCAACTGTCAACCCAACACCACCATGCTTACTAAACCATGTCCCCAAGTGCCACGTCTACCCGTTTTTTGAACACCTGCAGGTATGGTGACTCCACCACCTCTCGGGGCAGCCTGTTCCAATGCTTGATCACTCTTTCAGTAAAGAAATTTTTCCTAATATCCAGTCTAAACCTCCCCTGATGCAACTTGAGGCCATTTCCTCTCATCCTCTCATCCTCTCATCGCAGAAACCCATTTGGTGTCTGCTCACTTAGTATTCAAGTCAAAACCTATGTGATTTAGAGACCCCCAAACCACTTGGGTCTGTCAACAGACCTCCGTGAACCCTGACATCCAGATGAGAGAATGGATGTGCTCCACTATTCCTAGCCATGAGCTGCTGCAATGTCCTTAGGTCCCTCGTTTCCCCATGTCCCATCTGCAAAAGCAACCCCTGCGCAGTTTGAGGTGCACACTGCTCTGCCAGCGGGTGGTTTCTGCGGGAGCGAAGCAGGACTGGCCTGACCATGGCAGGATCTGGCAGCTCCTTGGTAGCCACTGGATATCCTTAGGTGCTGATGATATATCACAATATTGGTATAAACTGCTGCAACCAGCCCACGGGCATGAGCAATCAGCCAACCACCACAGTGCAAGCGGCCACTCCACGCATCCCATGTGCAGCATTTCTTTGAGCCAGGAGGACGCCTTGGGCACCTGTTTCGTTTGCAGCACTGCAGCAACCTGGACTGCTGCACGAATCCTCACCAGTGAAGTGTGTGAAAGCCTGCTTGTCCTCCCGGGCAGATGTGAGAGCAGAGGGAGGAGGACTGTCAGCACTCTGGCAATTTAATCCGTGTGCCTGTTGCAAAGCAGAGCATTGTCAGCCCAAGTGTAAGCAAAACAAAGAATCACAGAATGGTTTGGGTTGGAAAGGACCTTTGAAGATCACCTAGTCTAACCCCCTGCCATGGTTGCTCCAAGCTCTGTCCAACGTAACCTTGAACACTTCCAATGATGGGGCATCCACAGCTTCTCTGGGCAACCTGTTTCAGTGTCTCACCACCCTCATCATAAAACATTTCTTCCATATGTGCAATCTAACCCTCTTTCAGTTCAAAACCATTGCCCCTTGTCCTGTCAGTACAGGACATCTGCAGATGCATTCTAGTTGCTGACCAGCAAAATCTGAACCAAAGTCTAAAGTCTGCAGGAAGATGAGGGAATTCTGGCACTTTGCTTAAAACAACTCTAAGATGGAGAGATGCATCTCCAAATACCCCTGCAAGACCAAGAAAGTGTCATTCCTTTAGTTCTGCAGACAGAGGCCTGGCTTGCCAATAAATGGTCCAGCTCACACAAACCAAAACGTTTCTTTAAAGGAGTTGCACTTTTATTCCTAGACCAAATCACCATGAAACATATGGGGACAGCCTGAAAGAAGCACCTCTCCTGGGTCTGACTAACAGATTTTTCTTCAGAAATTCTGGTTTCGGGGATGTATCTTTGTGGCACCGGAAAGGAGAAAGTGGGCGCGTGTTTTGTAAAGTCTGGGGGTTGATTATCTTTCATGGGGACACTGTTGGGAAGGGGCGTACAGTCACCTACACTGACTCTGGCCTTCTGGGGGCAAAAGACCCAAGGAGCCCTCGCCACCTCCCCCCACAGCAAAGACCAAACCAGCCAGAGTCTCCTGCGGGTGGAAACCCAAACACGCAGATGTTTTCCTGTCCCAGCTGCTGCCTGAGAGTGAATGAGGAGGCAGGGGCAGTCTGAAGGAACTGGGCAGAGTGCCCATGCTCTGCCCCAACCCGATGGACGCGTGCTTGCGGGGAAGCACCCCAGGTCCACCCTGGAGCCCTCAGATATAAAGTAAACCCAGCAATAAGGAGTTTCCCCATTTCTAATTTTGGCACCTAGCACTGCCAGGCACCGAATACCAAACAGATGAGTTTTGCCTGCTTTCTGCTTATTACACAGCTCAGTTAACCTCACATTTCTGTTTACCTCAACCCCAATGCCTGGGGCAGTTTCAGGGTTGCACCAATGCCTTTGAAAATCTAGCACTGGAACGGGCATGAAGCTGTCGTTTTATTTATTGCGTAGAGCGATGGAAGGGGGAACTGCCTGATGCACTGCAGTTTAGCCCACGTGCTCCTTGTGATCCCTGTGGCTTGGGGCTGGGCTAAAGTCAGAGCCTGGCCCCAGCCCCACCCTTCTCCTCTTTTTAAAGGTTGTAAAAAGCAGCTGCTGTCAGTTTGCTGCTCCGCTGCTTCCTCTTTTGACTTTGCGACAGGAGAAAGCGCTTCATGTCTTGGCGTGAACTCCTTCCCCCCTGGCTGGTGATCGCAGCGGGACTGACAGGCATCGTGCTCCTTTGCATCTCCACTAAAGATGTACCCATCACCCCTCTTAGGACCAAGGTAAGGGTGTCCACCTGCCTGAGGGGCAGCCAAGCCAGGGGTCAAGTGGGGGAGTAAGCAGAGGACCTTCTCCTTGTCTGTGGGGCTGCTTCTTAAGGAGAACCTGCCTGTTTCCTTGTGCAAGCCACGCATTTAAACTAAAACCTGGTGTGTTTTGTTGCTTTTTACATTCATTGCACTACTGACTTAGTTACAAGCCCTTAACAGAAAAAACAAAAAATTGAGGAGGAGACTAGAACAAGACTGCAAGGATGGGTTTGCATCCTTCAACATGCTGTAGCTTTTCAAACCAAAACCAAGCCAAACCCTTTGGCTGGTCAGGGAAATGCAGGCTGGATATCATCCAGCAGAGATGCTCACCACAGGCCAAGGAGAGGCAGCCCCTGTCAGGAGCTACCCCAGAGCAGCAAGGGACCAGCGGTGTCAGTGGAGGGAAATACCTAGGTCCCTCTTGAAAGTCAGTAGGAACTTGGCTCTGAACTGCTGCCTCTGTGTTTAAAAAAAAAAAAAAATTATCTTCCATGCCTCTTCCTCTTCTGTCCTCTCTCGATTTTAACCGAAGAGCCAACCTGCTCTACACAGTAGGGTCAGATCTGCCCAGTGACTGGGGGGTTAATGCCCATCCGCCCTGCCTCTTGATGCACTGCTGCTGTGGTGAGATCAGTGGCACGCTATGGTTTACTCAAACAGAATTAGGTTAACCTGCACGTTTAGAGATACTACCCCTCCTCTATGCTCCTCTCAGAAACCAAATGGGATTAAAAAAACCCTTATTGCTCCATGCTCTGCCTAGCAAGCACTCTGCCCTTCCCTGGTGTTGAGCTGGGGCAGAAACATGGTGATCCTTTCTCTCTTGTGCTCCCAGCAGCAGCCTCTTATTTTGTGAAGGAGGAAAAAATCCGGGTTCCTCCACCAATACCATTTGTTTCTTCCTCTTCCATGGCAGCCAACATGCCCCTGCAAGAAACATGAGCTGTCACTTGTGTGGGAGGATGCCAGCAGGCTGGGACAGGGAGCTCCATCCTCCTTCCGTGTTTCTGCCTCAGCTCCAGTCCCACCAGCTCCTGGCCCAGGCACTGTGTCTGATGCAGCTGGGAGCTCCCAGGAATGCAGCAGGCAGCCAGCTGCGCTCAGAGGCTGCAGCCAGGCTCTGTCTTGTGCTAAAACCCTTCTGACAGTGTTAACATCAACCTCTCAGGAGGTTTTTCCTCCCACTCAGTCACAGCTACAACTATTTCTGTGCAAGATACAGCTTAGACCATGCACTATCACATACCTCCCAGATCTCACGAGTTTCTTTCATCTGTGTAGGAGATGTCCCAGTTTGGGGTCATGTAACAGTGGGGAGAGGAGGAGACCCTAGACTAGCACTGGGGCTATTTTGAGTGTGGAGACATCCAAAACAGCCACAGAGCAGTGGCCTCTCATTTCCTAACCTCACATATGAGGTGCAGCTCAGCAAGGCTTGGTCAGCAGCAAATAGACCAGATGCTGGGCTGCAAAGAGACTAAGAAAGCCCTCGGCCTCCCTGCTAGGCAATAGGAGAACTGTCAGTGAACAAGATGTTGAGAAATCTCATGTTCACTGCTGCTGTTTCTGCCAAGACATTATCTCAGTCTCCTCAGGACTGCTGTGCTGGACAGTGTATGTGCTGGTTGGTCCCAGCGCGCTGCAGCTCTCACAGGTCTGGCACGCATCAGGGCAAACCCAGCCTGTGTCACACCATCTGCAGCAGGGCATCAAACAGATGTGGGAGTTGCGGGTTCCTCAGAAGCAGGAATAAGCCACAGCCCTCCAATTCCTGCACAAAACCCTTGTCTCTTTAGCAAACCAATCCAGCAGCAGTTTGAGTCCCAGAATCAGCCAAGAGCCTGTATAGTGCCATCTCCTACTACTTGAGGACCTGTTTCTCCTGAGGTCCAGATGCTTCAGCTCTCAGTGGAAGCCTTCTGCCTGATTTCAGGAACAACTACAGAGCATGCCACTGTGGGTCTGATGTATTTCTGGGTGTTTCTCTACTCCTGCTGCTCCTCATGTATATTCAGAAATGCAGATGGTTCGCTGCAAATCCACATCATCTTCTGGCTTTACCCTTTCTTTGAATGTAAAAAGCTAACTCAAATACTGCAGGCCTATGGGGTACCCAGAATACCTACATAATGCTGAGTAACCCTACAATAACAGAGCAGCATGCATTCAGTGGTGTTTATCTAGAACGTTTCTGGGGTTTTCTAGTATGCCATTGTTCTGGATGCTGACCCATCCCGCACCATCCTGTTCATCTACCAGTGGACCACCATCCAGGCACAAAAGACTGGGGTGATCAGGGAATGCAGTTCCTGTCCCGTACAAGGTAAGGTGCCCGATTCATGCTCGGTGGTCTGTGGGACTGGCATGGGATGGATGGAAACCTAGAGATCTGTGCATGGACCATTGCTGCAATTTCCTTGGCTGCTGTATCATCTAGCTGTACACTGAAATAGTGGTGACAGTGAAGCACAGGCTGCTTATTTTCAGCAGGGTTCTTCTCGACATGGGCAGATTTAGCCAAACATAGCTGTACATCAGAGCACTCAGCAGCAGCAGGTGACAATTTTTTTAGCCTGCTGCAGGCAGGGAAGCACACAGAGGGGCTGGGGCTGGTCCTGATGTCCACGTGGATCAGTGGCAGAGACAAGGTTGCTGAGCTTCTCACCCAGACGAGACAGTGAACAACAACAGACAAATCTGGCTGCAGGGTGACTCCTGGTATCTTCTGCCTTCTCCTGACTGTACTCTGGGCAGTAAGTGGTGTAGCTCCAGGACAACAGAGATGCGAAGACTCCAAACCCCTATGCGAGGTTTGACAGCACAAGCATATGTTCAGTTTGGTTTTAGGTGTCATGTTTTGAAGAATGTTGAGGTCTTTCCCACTCATTTGAATCAGTTTGGCCCTGTCAAAGCCAGCTGAAAGGGTTTCATGCATTAATGCTTGGGGTTTTCCTTGCCTACTTCTCAGTCTTGCTTTGATGTTGAAGCCCAATTATAGCAGGATGCTGGAAAACACTGAACTCTCAGTAGCAGCATTGTGTGGGAGGGCAGCTGCACAACAAGCAGGGAAGGGGGCTTGTGCCCTTGCAGACTGTAAGCAATACAAACTACATACAGAAGATGCAATAAGGGCTCCCTGAAACCTTGTATGCATCCCTTGACTGCTGCCATGTTCACTGGCTGGGTTAAAAGCAGCGACTGTAGCTCAGTGCAGCAGTTTGTCAGCAGCAGCAGCAAGAGATCCAGGCAGATCTCTCACCCAGATGTGAGTAGTAGTCCTCTGCATGGCAGTGTGGTCACAGTCTTTGAGTGGCCGTAGGCAACCTGCAGCTCAGCCCTGTGAAGGGCCCAGGAGAGCAAAGCACGTGGTGGGGGAGTCATGCAACCAGGAAGATGAGTGGGCCAGAGGATGGAGAAGTGAGGCTCTTTCTGGGTAGTAGCTCAAAACCAGCATTTAAGACCCCATTGAATCTTGCTGGAAGGATGAGTCAAAGCTTGCACACAGCTTCCCTCCACGCAGCACCAGCTTCCTCTAGAGCAGAGGTGTCTTGCTTGGAGGCGCAGGGCTCAGAAGCCACCTCCGCCAACACAAGAGGAAGTGGCTGGAGGAGAGAGCTGACACATCAACTTCAGTTCTATCTGCATGGCAGTGTGTCCTTTTGCTTATCTTTTATAGTGGCTAAAGCCACATTTCTTCCTCTATGGGCTGAGACAGCCTCAGCTGTTGCACCAGTCTTGTGTCTGGTATGTGGTCATTTATGGGATGTCTCAGCAGCAGAGCTAGGGTTCTCTTTTTGCAATTTGGGATTTACGTGCATGTGCTGTTTTGCTCCCCGTACCATATTTTAGCAGGGTGGCTACCTGGAGGAACTCCTTTGTTCTACCTGTGGCAGGTCCTGTCTTTAACCATGCCCTAGGACAGCAACCTCTTGGGTAGCAGCTCTCACACTTCTCCCACATCTTTCCTTAGAAAATTTCATTCTTTCCCCTGATCCTCAGGTCTGGGAGTCTCCAACTACTCAGATTCTCCTGAGAAAGTAGGGAAGAGCTTGGAGCATTGTTTGAACTGGGCCCAGAATGAGATCCCGGCAGAGCAGCACAGCCAAACCCCCCTCTACTTGGGAGCAACCGCCAGCATGAGGCAGCTGAAGTGAGTGCATGTTGCAAACCCACACCCAGACATCAGAACACGTCATGCGGATCATTCTGTAAATGCATCTCACCTTGTCTGCTCTGCAGTGTGTTTCAACCCTAATCTGCTAGTCAGGTAAACCTTCTCCAGGTCCCCACACACTCAAGGGGAGTACGGCACGGCTGTGTCTCCATACTGTCCCCCCAAACAGCCATGAGGATGACAGTCTTGCTACTGCTACCAGTCTGTGTAAAGTCTCCTTCACAATTAGGGCTTCACAATTAGTGCTTGGAAAAAACATCTGTCAGTCTGGAAGCTGAAATGTTTTCAGTTTATGTGAAAACCCATGTGGGCTTGCAGGGGTGCTTCTTGTCAGCAGGTTGGGAGCAGTGGTGGGAAGATCCACCTTATCATACACATTTTTGTGGACCCTATTCTCAGTCACCTCATTACTGGGACCTTTAACTCCTTTTAGACACTTTGGAAAAGTAAGATCTGGAGGGGGCTGGGTCAGTGGGGCAAGGCCACAGGATCCCTCAGTGGCAGAGGGTGCTGAACTCCTAAATTCTTGAATGGTGGCACAACTGCTCAAATCATCCCTCTGCTGTTCTTTCCCCCAGTGCCATGTGAGGGGAGAGGGAAGTAGCAGCAGGAGTGGGATTGTCATTGTGTCCCTGTGTTACTATCCAAAGTGGGGAGCGCAGCAGAAACCCTGCAGCTGTGCCCCAACTGCAGGCTACTCCTGGCAGGGTCCTGTAACAACAAATGTGCCTTCTTTTTCTTTTCTGTTTAGCCTCACCAGTTCCACCTTCTCTGACGGTCTCCTTGCAGCCCTGACTGTGGCCCTGAAGTCATCCCCCTTTAACTTTCAGAGGGCACAAATCCTGTCCAGTCAAGACAAGGAAGCATTCAATTGGGTTGCTGTTAATTATGTCCTGGAGAACTTCTTCAAGGTAAAGGACAATCCTGCGTGGGGAGTACAGAACTGGGCTGAGCAACTCCCATTAACAAACAGCCACAGAGACGTGTGGAGGGATTGATAAAGCCCTGTACTTTAAACAGTGCTTAAGCACAACTTCCACTGTCTTTTAGAGAAGGCAGGTTATATCCAACACCAGCTGGCTGGGGGACATAATGTGAGATGGTTAAAACTAGGCTGAAGGACCCAACCTCTAATGTAGCCTTTCATGGACACGTTCATGCAGTTGGACTAACAGATGCGAGGCTTTCTGGACAGCACATCCAAGATTCTCACACAGATAACCTTACATAGCCTGGCCCTGGGGTGTCAACAAAAACTTCACTGCCCTGAGTCCCTGCAGCTGTAGCTCAGCACCACTGTCAAACAGGCATTGCTGCTATGTCCGTGGGGTGCTGTGGGATTGCCACTGGAGTCCAACTGTCCCATGGGACATCCTGTGGATGGTGGACAGAGAAGCAGAGTCTTCTGCTGCCAGAGCAAAAGCCCATCAAATATCTGCTCATTGAGACACTAGCAAGAGTATAGCTGGATGTCCCCAGCATAGGGGCCAGGTCTGTATTCAGAAGGCACTTGCTAAACAAAAAGAATACATTTAAGTTTCCTTGCTCTGTCCATGGGTTCTCAAGCTAAAGGGTCCCAAAAAGAACTCAAAGGGCAAGAGAAAGTTGGGTTAGACTGAGTTATTCCACATCAGGGAAGTGAAAGGCAGTTCTGATAGCCAGCAGCAAGCATGCACTGGTTAGGGATTTGCTAGCCCTGCTGGCAGCAACACAGCCTCCCCTGGCCAGGGACAGTGCTTACACCCATGTTGGCTGAACATGAGCCAGCAGTGTGCCCAGGTGGCCAAGGCGGCCAACAGCATCCTGGCTTGTATCAGGAATGGTGTGGCCAGCAGGAGCAGGGAGGCGATTGTGCCCCTGTACTCGGCGCTGGTGAGGCCCCACCTGGAATACTGTGTCCAGTTTTGGGCCCCTCACTAGAACAAGGACATTGAGGTGGTGGAGCGTGTCCAGAGAAGGGCAACGAAGCTGGTGAAGGGTCCGTAGCACAGGTCTTATGAGGAGAGGCTGAGGAAACTGGGGTTGTTTAGCCTGGAGAAGAGGAGGCTGAGGGGAGACCTTATTGCTCTCTACAACTCCCTGAAAGGAGGCTGTAGTGAGGTGGGTGTTGGTCTCTTCTCCCATGTAGTTAGTGATAGGATGAGAGGAAATGGACTCAAGCTGTGCCAGGGGAGGTTTAGGTTGGAAATTAGGAAAAATTTCTTTACGGAAAGGGTGGTCAAGCACTGGAACAGGCTGCCCAGAGAGGTGGTGGAGTCACCATCCCTGGAAGTGTTCAAGAAACAGGTAGATGTGGCACTTCGGGACATGGTTTAGTCTAGTCTACCCTTGATTGGTTTAGTGTGGACTTGGTAGTGTAGGTTAATGGTTGGACTGGATGTTCTTAAAGGTCTTTTCCAACCTAAACGATTCTATGATTCTATGTAATTACACTGTGGTTAGTCCATACTCATGGATGGATCAGTTCTGCAAGACTACAGGAGATGAAACCACAGGGTTCTTCTGACAGAAGGGTCACTTTAGCATCAAGGCAGCACTTGAAGCCCATATCTGTCCA